AGCAGTTTATAATAAAACACACTAAAGGATAACATTTGAATGAAAACATATACAAATTGTTTGGAAGTAAATTCTGTCAAGGCATCTAGCTGAAACTTGAGTTAATGTCCTCTAAAAGATCTATCATCCCTGCTATTTTGAGTATCTCCTACCAAAAACTAAAGCAGATTCAGATATTTTGAAATTTCCTATTTGACAGCTGATGACACTTTTTCCAAATCTAAATTTGAAATGTCTTGAATCAGATCAGACCGGCCATGAATCTTACATCACCGCCCCTAATCAAATCATGTCTATGAAACGTCTTCTAAAGACAAATATGGCTGGCATTCTCTAAGGGATTTTAAAGTATTTTGCTAGATGTTTCCTTTGGTTTCTGACTGAAAGTTTTTCACTATTTACATTTTGGATTTGGCCCTGTTTCAACTAGCTCACTTTTAAATTTGGCTAAAACAGGACTGAGGAGACTGCAGTTCTGAAATCTGTTGTTTCTGAGGAAATATTGAACATAGGGTATAATTTCCCCCAGGGCACCTAACTGACCACCATATTATTTGGAACCTAGTCCCAATCTGCCAAATATGAGATAAGGGTCTTCCATGCCCTGGTCTTTCTTCTTTTGATTCTTTAACCTTTAACCAGAGTTTTGACTGAACAGCTTTTCAAGTACCTCCAAGAGGTTTAGCTATTTTACTTTTTATTCCTGAAAAAGAATATTGGCCACCATCACTTCCTTGGAAAAGTTAATGTTTTTACCTTTCCTCTGGGAATTGGAAACTACATCTCAAATCAAAGTGAAAATAATCTGTGCACTCACCATAGCCCTTGGTTAGTTGATTAATGATGGGTATAGAAGGTCGTCCACCAAATTCTTCACTATGAGTTACCAAAGCATCTTTCACTGCCTCATATCCACAAACCACAACCATTGGCTTTGGTCCTAGCCAGATAGTAAAAACCGGACCGTACTTCTTAGTGAGCTGAGGACAAATCCATCAAAGGTGTGAATCAGTAGGATCTGAGATCTCATTCTTGGATATCTGATTCAATTAATGGCCCACAAGATCTCTTAATATTTATCACTTAACTTTAAAAAAGCAATTACCTATGTAAGAGCTAAACAGATAGAATACTTCCTAATCTACAGTAACTTAGTGGTATTTTAATTTTTATGGCCTTTAATGTTAGATAAATCTTTTGGATAAACTTTTCCGAGCCTGATGTTGTTCAACTTGAATTTTAACTTACTACAGTCAAAAGCCTTGGTGGCTAAGAATTATAGTAGCTAGTGCAAAATGCATGGTACAAAAAATGGTGCAGAATAAATTCATTATGATCAAAAGAAACTGATTCATGTTATAACTGACTTTGCTTTCACATTAGAACTTCATTCCGTGTTCTCCATTAAATGCCACAAGTGTGGCATTCGTACATCAGGCTACAACATGCATTGCTTAACCATGGCTTATATATTTATTTATTAAATCTAGAGACTGCCCAACTCCCAATGACTCTGGGCAATTCACAAGTAAAACAAATTAAAAACAAGAAAAAATGTAGTAACGGGCAAGAATAAAAGATGACAAAAAGGAAAAAAAGGAACAGGAATGAAAAAGAACTGGAACTACAGAACCAAAAGGGGGCTTCAATCATACTTGCCAATGGCCTGGGCAAAGAGCTAGGTCTTCAAGGCCCTTTGAAATGCCAACAAGGTGGGGGGAATCTCATTCCAGAGGGCAGGCAGTGCTACAGGTAAAGCATATTTCAGTGCCCGAATAGATGCCATTGTTCAATTGAAGGACCCCAGAACATGCCAACCCTGCAGGATCAAATCAGCCAGGCAGATACTATGGAAGACAGGTGGTCCCTCAAGTAACCAGACCTTACGTCATGTAGGTCTTTGTAGGTAACAATCAGCACCTTGAATCACACCCAGAAGCAAACTAACACCTAGTACAGCTCATGAAGAGGAGGTGTTACATGGGTATACAAAGGCATGCCCATCATTACCCATGCCACTCCATTCTGAACCAATTGAAGCTTCCAGGTGATCTTCAAGAGTAGCCCCATGTAGTCCACGTTGTACTAGTCAAGCCATGAAGTTACCATAGCATGACTGTTTGAAGGGCATAGTAATCTAGCTGCACCAGAAGAAGCTGTGCAAAAGCCTTCCTGGCCACAGCTGCCACCTGCCATCGAGCAGGAGCTGTGAACCCAGGAAGACCCAGGGATTGCACACCATGCTTGAATGGAGAACAGCTGCCTCACCCAAGGTCAGAGATGGAACATCCCTAGATCTGGGTGGCCAAAATGCCCACAGTCTCTTGGTCTTGGCTGGATTGAGTTGGAGATGGTTCCTCTCCATCCAAACCCACACAGCCTTCAGGCACCGGCACAAAACCTTTACAGCCTCACTTGGCCAGCCCTGGATCAAAAGTTATAATTGCATACCTTTAGCATACTGATGACATTTAACCTCAACAGTAGAGAATGAGAATGACCTCATTGAGTGGTTTCATGTAGATATTGTAAAGGAGGGGAGAGAGAGTAGACCCATGGGGCACTTCAGAAAGGAGGGGACCAGGGAATGATCTCTCATCCCCAACCAACACTGGAACTACTGCTGGAGAAAGGAAGAGAGTCACAGTAAAATGGTGCCCGAATCCCCAGCTTGTGGAGCTGGCTCAAAATGATACTGTTGTTGACAATATCAAAAACCACTGAGAGATCAAGAAGCACAAGAATGAATGCACCACTTCCATCCCGGCTCCACCACAGGCCATCTACAAGTGCAACCAAACCTGTAATGGTCTGTGAGAATTACCTTGGGAGATGGAAGAAGAGACACAGCCTAGACAATGGTCAGATAAACGATAGCCCACAGAAGGAATGGGGGCATGGGAAGCATCTCAGAAGGGACCCTCCCTAGTTCTCTGGAAAGTAAAGGGGAGGAAGGGGAGAAGTGTTTTCAAACTTGCAAGATTCTGTTACTGTAACCTAACAATAAAGGTAGTGTTAGTGCTCATGGTTTTGGTTTCTTGTCTGGATTACCTCGAAGGGCTGACAAAACGTGTCTCAGAACTAAATTCCAGCCTGAAATGCATCTAGATAATCAGTTTCCTTTATGGTTCTCAACAACTGCAGACCACCCACCATCTCAACAACCTTCCCCAGAAAGGGAATGTTGGAGACTGGATGATAGTTATTGAGCATTTTGGGTCCAAGGGTGCACCACTGCCTCTTTCAAGGCAGAAGGTACCACCTCCTCCATCAAGGAGGCTGACATCACACCTTGGACCTTTTACAACCCAGGATGGGCCCCGATCCGGTAAACCCATGGCCAAGCTGACAGCACAGAGGACTTTGTCCACTTCCTCATGAGCTACCAACAAAAACTCATCTCATATCATGCTACCAGACCATGCATCTGGTGCCTCGGCTTGCCCTGCCCAGTCCAAGATAGAGTGAATCTGAGCCATTTTATCCACCAAGTAGCCTGATTTATCTTCACAGCAACCCACCCTACCCACAGCACCCCTCAGTCACCCTAAACAGGGCTGCTGAACAGCTATCAATGGATACAATAAGGATAGAGAAATATTGATGTTTCAATGTCCTTGTAACTATGAGGTAATCCCTAATATGGGTCCTTACCCATGTCCAGCCCCCTCAAGTCCTGCTCTGCTGCATCATCAGGACAGGAGGTGTTCTTGGGAGGGATGAGCAAAGAACATTGGGAGCCTGTGCCAAACTTATATTCAGGTCAGAAAGCCACAGTACGGACAGAACATAGTGAAACAGACTGGCTCCCTGCTTTGGATGGTTGTATGTTCTCCCCTTATTTATTCAATCTATATGCTGAATATATATTAAGGGAAGATGGATTGGAAGAGAATGAGCATGGTTTTAAAACTGGAGGAAGAAACATCAATAAGCTGTACTATGTTGATGACACCACTCTGATAGCCAAAAATGCAAAGGATCTGCCAGCCCTAGTACTAAAAGTCAAAGAGTACAGTGAAAAAAATGGGACTAACATTAGATATAAAGACCAAACTAATGACACAAGATAGAACAACCAGCCTTAGAATTGGCAATGAAGACATCAAGTGGTGGATAGCTTCTGCCTTTTAGGATCAACTATCAAGAGTAAAGGAACAAGCAGTCAAGAAATATGCCGTAAACAGCTACAGAAGGGCACTCTTTTCAATGGTTTTCTTCTAATAAGGTGAAAGAGAAATTCAACATGGATGAAATGACAATTGGAACTGAGAAGAGGAAATTCGAATTTGAAGTAGAGTTATGTACAAATGATGATCATATAATAGCTAAAATATATCCATTGTTATTAAGATTTGAAACAGAAGATGAACAGGTTAAAGACTGTATGGTGAAATAGGCTGCAAATTTTGGTTGTAGTATAAATATGGATATATGGGAGAAAATGTGGGAAACTGGTCTTAAATTTACATTGTGTCATAATTTAAGCGAGAACTTATATAAAATGATGTATGATTGGTATTTGACACTAGTGACTCTGTCAAAAACACTGGGAGTCAAAAACACTGGGAGCCACACTTGATGGCATATAATCAATCAGTCAGTCAACCTGTGCTTGGAGAGATTTGCTCCAACTCTTCCTCTAATGGTGCTCCAGGAGTCTGTTCTGATGTTTCATCTCTTGGAGCTCCTTGGTAAACCAAGGTCCACCCAGGATCGGCACACAGGAAGAGGCCACATAGGGGTGATATGGGGCTGTGACTATGGCCTCAGCAGAACCACCCACTGGGTCCTCAGGGGTAAACTCAAGCTCTCTCTGAAATCCTATTGGTTCCATCAAGCACCCAGGATGGGTCGATTCAACAGACCCTGTCTCCCTGCAGGAAGGGGTGACACCAGTGAGTCAAAAGGCAACCAGAGAGTGATCTGTTTCTGGAGATGGACTGATGTCAATGTCCTCCACTATGAGATCACATCTCAACCATCCCAAGACAAAACCAGATCTAACGTTCAGCTGCCGCTATGCATCAGGCTGCTGGTGACCAGTTCCATGGTTGCCACAGAGGCCACAAAACTGCCCCAGAGTCAACGTTACCAAGTGGAAACCCCCAAGCACTAACAGCCTTTGGGGCTCTATTGCCAACCCTGCCACAAATTTCACCAGCTCAGGCAAGGATGACATTGAGCAGCAGGGAAGGTGATGATACCCCAGCAGCAATCCCAACTGCTCCTTTCAGCCCAAAGTCATATCCAGTTATCTGCAGAGCCCCTGAAAGCCTGTAACAGCTCACAGATGACAACAACTATACCTCCTCCCCTCTGCTGGGCTCTTGGCTGATGCAAATCCCAAAAACTGGGTGGACATATTTCTGAGGGCCCACCAGATTTTGGTGACACTATCTACTTAAACCACCACTGCTGATCATGCAACCTGCTGATCCATATTTTATGGGTTGTCAAGAACAATGGCTGGTAGTGGCTGTCCAATATACTTTATCAAGACTAAGTCAGCCACGTTATAATAAGGAGTTATATGTACCTAACCGATGCATTCATACTCTCTTAACAACATTTGGGGTGCTAGATGTGATTCCAACACTCAGGTAGAGTTCAGAAGTAGTTTGAAACATCCAACAATGCTGTATGTAGAGACACTATGGTAGGGTTTGAGAAGACAGTGCTTTTAAAATATACATTCATACACACAACTCTTACTAATTTCATAGGTATATTTCTCCATTTATGACCAAATTTCATAGCTGTTTTAAAGTGAGATTTTTGGAGTCAAAAGGTAATTTTGCCTTTCAATGAATAGAACAATGACAAACAAAATAATTTGAAAAAGTTAACATGGTAATCTACATACCTACTTCATTTGGAATTACTCTCAGCTCATCACATATAAGATTGCAGATTTGTGAACATAAGATTGAAAACTCAAAGCAGAGGCGAACTGAGATAACCTAGGTTGAGGCCAGAAAATGTTTTTCAGTTATGGTACTGATGTTACAGAACAGCGTCTCCTTGAAAATGAGACTGGTCCCTTCAGTGACGGTCTTCTAGAAACTGATGAACCCTAAGCTTTTCTCAAGAACCATTGGAAATCGTCACTACTGCATGGAACAATTACTGATATTATCAGTTGCTATTATTTAGATGAGTTTTGTATTACATTATCTGCTGGGCATCAACTGTTTGGGGGCTTATTTTTTTTATTTGCTTTATTTTATTTATTTATTAAACATTCGATTTATTCTCCGCCCATCTCCCCCCGATGGGGAACTCTGGGCAGCTCACAAAGTATATATAATCCTAACAGCGACAAATCTTACAATTACAAATCCTACAGTGCTGTATATATTACACTATATGACCAGCAGGGGTCGCTAGGGGGTCATCCAGGCTTTTTCCTCCTCCGTAGATCTTTCTCGCCTCTCGCACCGATTGTCGCTCGTGCCGGTTGCAATCGGAGTTCGGCCAGCATCGGTATTTTACTCTTCTGCGCAGCACCGCCGGTTCCTCCCATCTAAACGGGAGTCCCCATTTATCTACTCGCAGGTGGAATAGCTTTCGAACTGCTGGATGAGCAGAAGCTAGGACAAGGGGCAGGAGCTCAGCCCGTCCCGCGGAGCCGGGCCCGAACCGCTGGAGTGCCGACCATTTCTGACCGGCAAACTCCAGCATCATTAAGCCCTGCGCCACTGCGTCCCCCCTGTGTGGAAGTTTTAATTTTTTATTATATGGTTTGTTATTGCTCTGAACTGTGAGGGTCTGGAAGGATTTGCCAGCATACACCTTTAATAAATGAATATATACTTAAGCAGTACTTACAGAATAGGGCATTAAAAGGAAGAGGAAAGAACATGTCATAGTATCCGCACTTTTATTCACCATGGTTAGTTGAATAAGCTACAACTGTCTAGGTTCAAGCATCTCACAAAGCCAGAAACTATGGTCTTTACTTCATGCTGCCTGGGTTCACCCATACAAGCCATCTACAGAAAAACCACATGATAGTTTATAGCACAATGAGTGAATGCAATCTGAATAATGCTAACGGGAAAGAACAGTTGGTATAAGTTAACTATTATTCTTTTATTATATATTCTTTATTTAGTCATGTACAATGTTCTATTCTTCTTGCTCATGCTACTTAGTCTCCGAGAAAATATGTTTGTGGTTAAACCTGTAACCAAAAAATTAAGCCAGACAGAAGTGGAGCTGAGAGTGCCATTAGTAGTGCTGGAAGTACCCCCAACTTTTGAAATATCTGCTTTAGCGAATTCTGTCAAAGACTGTCTTACCTTCCGGTAGGTTTTATACAGAGGCAAAGCATCTTTTCGCAGTAGATTCCCCAGAAAGAGCCAGGGCCTGGGTCCAGGGGGGAGCTGGCATCTTGCTTGGTGAAACCTGAAGGCCAAGACTGTGAGCAGGACGAGAACCAACAGGATTGCTGCCCCAGGCACCAGCTCCACCTGCATTTTTCCTCTTTTTGCCTTGACCGAGTGGAAGAGATGAGACTTTGGTGTTGGAAGAAAGCTGCGAAGGCTGAGACACAGAGAGGATGGCAGAGCTAAAGTCAATGTGAAGGTTTCTCTAGCTTTCTCCCTTCCACTCCCCAGGTTGTCCTTCCCCTTTTGTTGCCATGCAGGCTATCAATTATTCAAGAACATGAAATGCTGTCTTTAAGTATTTGTTCTGATCCCATAAACCAACTTGGAGCAACTGAAGAAGTGCTCTAATGACATGCTTCTACCTAAACAAAGGTTATTTAATTAATCCAGTTTTCTAGGTTGAATTAGGCATCTTCTAATTGTGGGCAGTCTTAGTCAGAACTAGACAACCCATGACCCGTTGGGTCATCATTTCAGAGATATTTCCTTATCTAAACTGAAACAGAATGACCAAGGGCAAAAAAACAGTGGGAGTGTCAGCAAATCCTCTCTCCCTCCCCCCCTCCCTCCATTGGCAGCACTGAAATGGCAACAACTTTCCCAAATTTCAAGTTTGGACTTATTCTCTAAGTCAGCACCGTTTCTCCTTGTTAATGGCTACAGTATGAAACAGACATGAGAGTTTTAGTAGTACATAGATATAAAATGCAATTAGATGGTATTAGAGCAAGTATGACGGAGGTAGCATTGGAGAGCCGTGTTCTGAGCAAGCGGCTACACTTGACACTTGATACTTTTACACAAGAAGAAAATTGTGCTGGCAAGTGGCTTCCTACTGTTGACAGGTCAGCCAACAAAAGGAAGAAGTAGATGCATGGATGGATCTCTTTTAATATACCCCCAAGCGAGGTCACCTTCTGCTCTCATCATCTACAGTATCAGCTGGGCAGGCGGTGCAGAGATAGGAGCAGAACAGCAACCTGGCATCTTCCAAAGGTTTGGACTTCAGTTGTAAGACTGCATAGCTAGCATAGTCAGCAACAAGAGGCTGGGAGCTGTGCAGCTGAAAAACTGATGGCACAGTAGATTCGTTCCCAACCCCTAGTTTACAGTACTGGATTAAGGATGGAAAGTCAGTGGTCAATATTCCTATTTATATAGAGCTCAGTAGAGTTCGCTGTCCTTCAGTCTAAGTTTCCTCTCAAGGCTGTTATAAAAATAAGGCAGGGCAGGGGAAGATAGATAGTTTTAATTTTTAAAAAAATCAACCCCCAGAGCAATAGTGAAACAATAGTTAACAGGGATGGACAAAGCTCTGAAGGGATGTCTCACGTTGATGAAGGTCCATGGGAAGGATCCTTATGAACCTGCTTCACAAAGCAATGAAGAAGCCCACCCCCTTCTCAAAGTAAAGCAAGATTGCCCCCTTGTCTGGGGTTTTGCTTGTTTTTATTTTGTCTGGGGCTTGTTTTGACTCCTCAAGTCAGCTGCGGGAACTGCTGCTGTGCAAGCCTCTTCTGGCTACTGAAGCTGCTGGATGAAGCTCCAGAAGCAACATGGAGCACCCCATTGAGGCAAACCAGGTCACATCTGTCCCATGGCAATGACACTGAGTTGTTTTTCGTTCTTGAAGCAAAATCCAGCCATGTCACACAGAGCTAGAGTGTTTGTTCTTGCACGCTGCCTACGCAATGGCCACAGAATCCAGGCAAGGGCTATACAGCATAGATTCAGTTTAAAATAACCCACAAACAATACAGCAATAGGAAAAAAGATATTTCTGTGGCTATTAACTTAGGTTTCTCTTTTCCTAATTCACAAGCACTGGGCATATTTATTTCTGCATTTAGCAAGCTGCCAAAACTATAGCAAACCGATCAACCAACCAAAGCAATACAATCTTTGCATTTAGTCTGAAGTTCAACCTAAAGATGTGCAGGCATGCCATGCATTTACTTACTTTTGGTAAACAATAGAGAAATACATGTTTGCATTTTACAATATGCAATCTGAAGCCTCAGTAACATTATTGACAACACGTGTGGAACGATCACAGTGCACATACCTTCCAGCAATCTATTTGATGCTTGTCCTCCACAGCAATAGCCCCAAATGGTTCCTCTGTACATGAACATCTGGTTATATAACCGCTGCTCTCTCCTCCCTAATCCCCTCCTCTTCCCCAGCAGGGGTGGAGTTGGAGCTAATGGTTTCAAACATCAGAAATATTGCAGCTCAAAACAGCCCCATAATTTAAGTGGTGGTTTTTTCCCCCTGCCACACCAATTTAGATATCTCCTGCAACTATTTAAATGATGCATCAGTTGTCAAAACAGGATTGCTACAATGTTACAAGATGAGGAAGATTGGGTCTACCTGATTTGAAATTGTATTTTGCAACTTGCTGTTTGTTATGGAAGAACGAGTGAGTGCTGCTGAGAAATAGAAGGCTTCTGGAGTTAGAAGGACACGACCTGAGATTTGGGTGGC